TTTTTTTTTGTTTGTGATTTTTCTTTTTGCTTGCGGTTTTTTAGCTCTAAATGAATTAGATGCATGGTTTTTAATTGAAGAGAGAAACATATTTAGCCGTCATTCAATTAAATACATGCTTTTGGATTGGAGAGAGACACATATCATAATTGCAGAGAGAAATCAATTCAATTAAAAACATGATTTTGGATTGGAGAGAGAGATGTATTCTAATTGGAGAGAGAAATATTGGGGAGAGATAAAGACTCTCGTAATAGTGAAAAAAAGACGTCCACTAAATATCTTAATGATAAGAATTTATACAGATGGTATATTTCCAAATAATTCTTATATAGAGTATAAGTATGTAAATTTCCCATTGGTTAATGGGGCAAAAATAATTAAATATACTTAAATATATTATATTGTATATATACTTAGGTAAAAAAAAAAAAAAAAAGTTTGGAGGGTACCATGGCCCTCTCTATATTGCATGTCCGTCCGCCACTGCCCTTTTCAAATATCTTTACAAGATTCGACGTGCATTGGTTGATAGAGAGCAAGCCGCGAAAGCCCTTGTTCATCGTTGGAGTTCACGAGGTAAGCAAGATGGGTCGCGAAGTTGCTTGAATTTATTAAGGCCTCGTGGTACGTTAGTGCCATGGGCGGGGGTTGTGTAAGGCCCTTGCAATACCCCCAAACGCTCCTTTATTCTTTGGTTGAGTGTTCAATCATCTCCGTACAAAAGACCGATTAGAGTTCTTTGTTGAGAATCTGACTTGCTCTCTTTGTGGTAATGTTGTTGAATCATCAGAGCATCTATTTTTCGAATGCTCCTTTAGCTCGAAAGTTTGGGGAGTGGTTTGGTATTGGGTTAGCCTCCGTGATAGACTTTTGACACTTAAAGGGGCTCTTAAATAGACTAAAAATGAGGCACGAGTGGCTAGTTGGCAAACCAAGTTGAAGAAAGCGTCGCTGGCGGCAACCGTGTACTTTATTTGGAATGCGAGAAATAGGTTGATTTTTTAAAATGAATCTCAACCTCAGCGTCTGGTGATTCGTAAGTTCCAAACTCATATTTATCGTACAATCTTTGCGTTATATCCGAATGTGCTTGCCGAATATTAGAGGAAGACCTTGGTTTATAGGATGTTCCCTTTCATAGTTATCGTACTCATGTTTTTCTTTGTATTGGTTTGGGTATTGAGTGAACAACCGAACTGGTAATGTCCTCTAAGACTATTAATATGCGAGTGAGGAGCCGTGCATATGGCTGCCCATTGCGCTTTTGTTTGTCGATTATCGGTCTTTGAACTTCAATTTTGGTCTATAAATTTACATTTACCGATTAAAAAAAAAAAATTGGAGGTACGCACTGACTTCTTTTATGCCACTTATGTGAGGCAAATTTTAGTAATGACAAAACTGAAGAAGTTGATGAAAATTATGCTGTAGACAGTTGAATATTGATTAAAAGAAAATTATGCCAAAAAGCTTTCAAAACTCTAACAAGGCCCCACAATATCTTATTCTGTACCACCAAAAAATCATAAGATTGGTGCAGGAAACAAGGCACATATAGAATACCTCTAGAGCTTATATAAAGTGAGCTTCATTTAGTACCAATAAAAGGAAGTAAAAAAACGTCAAAGTTTACTGGTCAAACATCATAGAACAACCACAGTATTCCATCAGTCAATGTCGATTCTTCAAAATTTTAAGACAAGCCAACGGTTGAAGTGTTTTAGCATAATGTCTGTTAAATGGTTAGTCGAGTATGTTAGAAAATAACTCAGCTTCATATGGAGTTACGAGAAGCTGGGTTTCCTGGAAGTTACTGTCTGAGACGAATGGATGAGCACGAGGAAAAGCCAATTGATGCCCCACCAGACAGAAATCTGGAGACTTGAGGGGCACACCTGTTGGGATTGCGTTCATCATAGGCTGATTCACGATACAGCTACTGTTTTCGTGTAGTGACATGTTTTCTGGTCCACTTGAATCCAAGGTATCACCATTTGACAGAAGAGAGAGAGCATTGAAATACTCGGGTGCTGCATTGAAGTGGGAAGAGATCAGGTGTCCCTTGGAGCCTGAAAATTTTGGGGAACAATAAAATTGGACTTCATTGTGGAGTTGATGCTGAGTATAAATTTATCATAGTGGATGATTATACATTTTTCAAAGCATAGGTTACATTTCGCTTCGGATTGAGCTTAAACCCGTAATGTTGATCTCCCTCCCACAAGCTATCATCAACTACATGATTCTTATTCCAAATCGTACGAGGATGGGATTTGTACATTATGTAATCCTTTTCAATGCATTTAACATTCACTCTGTTTTTTGTTATCTATGTTCATAGTTATTTGCATCAATTTCCTAAATCCAAGCATGAGAACTCATGGATTATGAGCACAACAAGAAAATCAACAACAGGCTAATTTGGAGGATCCAGGACAACCTAACAAGAGTTGCTCCCAACTAAAATTGAGTAATTGTTCAACTACAGCCTACAGGACTTGCCTAACGGGCGTGCAACTCCCACACATACAATTTGAGCTTTAACTATGTGCGTGTAGGATAACTTGCGAGGTTTGGAAATTATAGAACCATCACAATAACATGCAGCAATTTCTCGTTATTGACCATAACTAGTCCCAAGTCAATAGGTTACGTGTCGCAACATTCATGCGATAACCCCAAAAAAATTCTACAGAAAGTTCTTTTGAGTAACGATGACAATATTTAAGAAGGCTGCTGAAGTAGGGACACTGACCTGAAATTGACACCTTGGGTACAGACCTCATGGAAGCCAAAAGTTGCTCAGTACTGTGCATATTGATGGCATGTGGCATTTTGATTCCCGACATATGCACTGGATTGTCGATGCCGCCATCTCGAGTATACTTTGAATATCCGTCTCGGGCAGACTTTGATATATACCCTTTTGTTAGGGTGAACTTGGGGTTATGCGTGGTATCCCTTGAGGTGTAGGCAGAATTTGTAGGGCAAATAAGTGGGGCATTGTTTAGCAGATAGTTCAATTGCTTCCTCCCACCTGCTCAAGTGAAAGAGATTAGGCAGAAGAATCATCAATGGTTTTAAAATCTATGTCCAGTGGGAGATAAACAGAAAAAATGTCAGTGTTAAAAGGATAAACAATAGACACGGCAAAACTTACAAGACAGTAAAACGGTTTGGTCTGAGAATAAAATAAAGGCCCGTGTGACAACAGTTTTCACAGACAAAACTAAAACTTTTGTACTGATGGTGGTTTATATGTTTTTCTCCCATCCTTGATTTTTCTGAACTAAAAATGTGAAACATTTGATAAGTCATTTATCCCCATTTCACTAAGTTATCCATGTTATCCACTGTAGTAATTTTAGAGATAGAAAACAAACATAAAAATGGTCCAAATATTGAGCAAGTCAAACCACCTATCTTTACTGAAGAGTGTACTTAAATGTTGAGCAATTAAATATTCGATGAAGTTAATTATTCGGGTAAAATCTGGATTCAAGTTGGTAAAAATAAAACGATCTAATTCTGTATTTTTGCCCTTTGTTAGTTTTCCACATTGATAATCCATCAGACCGTAAAACATGTTGTAGAGACTTTTTACCATTAAATGGCGAAGAGAGGCTTTCTGAGCTAAACTGGATGATTTTGTGCTGTGGCTTCCGGCGTCGTGCATTATGATCAGAAAGCCTTTTCCGACAACTGCGCTTCTTCTCGTCAAATTCGGATAAACTATGGAACCTTCAAATAGAAACGAGCATCAAAATGTTGAGAACGTCCAAAAGGGATAGGCCTACCAACATAACAACATACAGTACCTGCTGCACTGCTGGCAAAACCGGCGTTCTAAGCCTCCAACAATGACTTTGGGACATTTGGAATGACTGTCACACACTCTATGCTTCCTGTGATACTCTTTAGCGGTCGACAGGTCAGCATTGCAGCCCTGAACAACACAGTTCGGGGTCGGGATGTCTTGACCAGCTGACTTTGTCTTTTTCAACAAAGTGGATGGCGGTGTAGGCATCACACAAACGTTGTTCTCGAAGTAGGTTCGTTTTCCGAGCTTCAGTCCGATCAATGGTTCGGCAGTTAGAGAGGCCTTAGCTTCTTCAATTTCCATCTTTCTAACGCGATTTCCAGAAACGTCCTCAAATGCTGTGAGCTCAAACATCCTGTCTTTCACATAGGAGTTGGTGGAAGCTGAGATTGGGCTTTTAGTAGAAGAAATGGTTGAGAGATTGAACAATCCATCATCATCATCGTCAATGATCTTCCAGTCCACTGATTGTGGATTTTTGGTCATTTTAGCAGCTTTCAAACCGAACCAATCCCACTTCGAATTCCAATCCATCTCAGCAAAAGCAGACGCACTTTTATCAATAGCCTTCGTACACAGCGTAGAAAAGTTTAAAATCGGAATGACTCAAAATATGCAAAGGACGAAAAGAAACTGATTAAGCAAATTCCCAATAAATGAGCCCACTTGGGACACAATTTTGACAATGACCACATAAATAATCTATCCTTATTTTCAAGAAATTATCACAAACAGTACCGTGAAAACACGGAAGTAATCACCCCATGGAGAATCTGCAAACACCTGTTTGAAGAACTAAAGAGATGACGAAAACGAAGACGAAAATGAACATAGTAACAAATGTCAAGGTTCAGATTACTGAATAACCTAGTCACCCAAATTCACTTGTAGCAAGCAAAAACAAGTAAAGCCTCCATATAAGTCACTTAAAAAAAACCCAAGATTTGATGATAAATCAAAACTACAACACAGACCCACAAGTTATCAATAATAAATAAATAAGGAAATACTCTGTTCATCTCCACCAGATTGCCATTCAAGGAAGAAATTCTATTTATTGATAAAACAAACTTGTGCACTCCTCAGCAGATCAGAAAACCGAAAAAGATGAACTAACTAAACTGTTAAATCCAAACAAATAGCAAGAAAACATGAGAGAACAAAAGAAGATCTCTATGGCGGCATATTATTATTGATATAATAAGAAAAAAAAAAAAGCAAAAGACCCAGCCACCACAACGTCACTTTCAACACCTTCATTAAACAGATTAGAAAAATCAACTCAAAAAAGAGTTGTTCTGGTTTCAATGCTATCCATAACAGCACAGCAGCTACAATTTACTGCACGGAGTCTCATTGCAAACTTTTTAATTAAAAAAAAAAGAAATACATAAAAGAACAATAATGGCAGTTAAAAATTAGAAAAAAAAAAAATG